CCTATAGTTCCCTTTCCAGGGTATCCAACACTCTCTCCTACCCTCTGTGGGCACACATGTGGCATACACACACATACACAAAAATTTTTACAGTATTTTTAAATTAAGTACAGTCAAGGATATTAGGAGTTTATTATCAAAAAACATTGTAGTATGGGTACAAATAAAACTAATGATATTTTAAACAAATACTCCCCTGCTCACCAATTCAGTTCCCCATAATTTGAATAAGAGATAAGAATACCTTAAGTACAGACATACTCTTAACTCAGTTGGAGACTATACCTCTCTGTGATTTTACTGTTTATTTTCGTTTGAGAGGTATATATCCAGGCTGGCCTCAAACTCACTATGTAGCCAAGGATGACCTTGAACTTCTGATCCTCCTCCCTCTACTTCCTGAGTGCTGGAATTATAGATGTGTATCATCTCTATAATTTAAATTGATGTTTGGTTTATCATTTAATCTCAAGAGTTTTAGTAGCTTGAATGAGTTGCTCATCTTTTGGATAAGTTAACCAAACAAATTGATTTGTGCCCATAGAGCTGAGAATCTTGTCCTTGATTTATCAAAGTTTTGATACTGTTTGGTAAGCAACCAGTCAATCTAGGAGATAATTTTGTATTGCCATGGAGAAAGTCAGAGGTCAATGTGAAATCTTTTTTTTTTCTCTCTCTTTTTTTTAATGAAGTAGAATAAAAGACTAAAATATAGCCAGGTGGTGGTGGCACACGCCTTTAATCCCAGCACTCAGGAGGCAGAGGCAGACAGATCTCTGAGTTTGAGGCCAGCCTGGTCTATAAGAGCTAGTTCCAGGATAGCTTCCAACGCTACAGAGAAACCCTGTCTTCAAAAACAAACAAACAAACAAAAAAAGACTTTAATATTTCAATTTGTCTTTTGAAGAAAATGAGAATTTTGGATCATTTGAAGAAAAGTTGATATGTCTGAATGATAGTGAACTTATAATTTCAGTACTTTAGGGATAATGAGACAGGGTCTCAGTATATAGCCCAGGTTAACTTTGAACTCATGACCCCTTTGCTTCTGTCTCATGAAGGAGTTCTGGGTTTACAGGTGTGTATGTACCACCATGCCCAGCATAGCAGGACTTTGGTTTCTTTTTCTTTTTTCTTTTTCTCCCCAAGAACAGAACTTATTTCTAATGAATATGAAAACCTCTGCTATCGAGTAAAGCAGATATACATAATTAACAAAACAGTAGGCATTCATAATCTCAATCCATTATAATGGTAAAAATAATTTTAAAAAGTACTTAAAGAGTACTCTTTTAAAACTGTTAAAATTAGGAGTGTAAGGCCCTTAGGTTAAATGAAAAGTTGAGGGTAGTAATTAAATTTTGTATTACTGTCCTTTGTTCTTATTGATCGATCTAATGTAATTGGTTTCGAAAATCTCGGGTCTGCCAAAGTCTCCTGATCAGGACCTAAGTTAAGAAGTTGGGTTTCTTAAAACAGAATGTGGATACTCAGCTAACTCAGTTGGCAGGAAATAAGACTTATTATCTTGGTGCTTTGAAGTCTTAATTTTACAGTGGGGGGGGGGGAGGTGAGAGTTAGGCTGGAGTATGAGCTAGCAGTAATGATATTTACACCTGGTAACCAGCTCGGGTTGGCTGACTATATGTAGGTCTTTGGACACACTGTTTCGGTGTACATGAAGTTCAGTTTCTTTTGTAAAGTGAAGGAACTTTATACTTAAAATGCTAATATTTTATAAAACTCATAAAACTTTTCCAGTTGAATTGTACATTTCAAAAAATCCCAGGGCTCAGTGAGATGGCTTGGCACTAGCTCCCAAACCTGACAGCCGGAGTCTAGTCCCTAAGACACATGGTGGGAGAAAAGAACTATAACTGACCTCCCCAGCACTCCACACATTCAGAATCACTTTTAAGAAAATCTACCTTTCTCCCATCATCAGGTTGTCTTCTTTACCCCAGTAATTGTTTTCTTCACTGTGCAGAAGCTTTTATATTGGATTGAATCCCATTTATCAATTCTTGCTATTTTGTCCTGAGTTGTTGAAAACCTATTCCAAAAACCATTGCCTGTGTTTGTATCTTGAGGTGTTTTCTATATAATTTCTTCTTTCATTAAGAGTTCTGACACACTTTGAATTGATTTTTATACAGATTATAAAGAAAGGAGTCTAGTTTCAATCTTCTACATGTGGATAGCTAGTCTTCATAGTCCAATTTGTGAAAGTGTCTTCTGTCTAGTGTATGCTTTGAGTACCTTTGTCAAGAATCAGTGGCTGTAGTTATTTGGATTTCTTTCTGAGTCCTCTGGTCTGTTCTATTGGTCTCCGTGACTATTTCTGTGACTGTATAATATTGGTTTGTTACTATGACTTCCTAAATCAGACACTGTGTTCTTCCAGCTTTGCTCCTTTTGCTCAGAATTGCTTTGGCTATTCAGAGTCTTTTGTGCTTCTACTTGAATTTCATGATTCATGAAGAATTTGTCTGCAATTTTGATGGTTTTGATGTCAATATTCAGAAATACAATGAACTCAAAATTTTAAGCACTAAAACTACTTTTAAAAAATCTGTTTTCAATAAAAGGAAAAAATAATTCAATCAGTACATGAAGGAGTGAATTAAAAAAAATAGTTCTCACAATAAGTAGAAGTAGCTAATAAATATATGGTGATGGAGGAAACACCTCGGTTTTTGACTGTAAATGAAATCAGATTAAAACCACACTGGGATTCCAGCTCAGTCCAGTCAGAATAACTTTCCTTAATAAAACAAACAAATGCTGCCAAGAATGCAAGAAAACAGAGCCCTTCCAACTGCAGGTGGGGAGGTAAATTCCTCAGCCACTTTGGAAACAATGTGGAAATTCCACAAAAAAGAAAACTAAGCACAAAGTCAAGTAAGTTGGCTCAGCAAGGTAAAAGCTGTTGTTATGTGCTTGGTCACCAGAGGTCCACCCTGGGAACCCACTTAAAGGTAGAAGGAGACACCCCTGTTCCACACAATTTTTCCTTTGACCTTCACACATGTGCCATGTCCCACATCCCTCCCCTCACATATCACACACACACACACACACACACACACACACACAACAAAAGCTTTTTTTGTAAACTAAGAATAAGGCTACCAAATGATCCTATTATATACTACTCCTGAGTAGATGCGGAGGACCCAGACAACTCAGAATCAACATACAGTAGAAATATCTGTACATGTGATGCAATACTTATAATAGCTAAATTATAAAATCAGCCTAGAGACCCATTGGTGGACAAATGGGTAAATAAAATGTGCATATATGTGGAGGATTATTAAACCATAAAAAATTAAGTTGTCATCTGTAGGAAAATAGATATAACAATAGACACAGATCACTTTTTAATGAAATAAGCTGGTCTCTAAAGGACAAGATTTTTGTGCTGAGAGAGTTAATACGGCCAAAGTACTTTGTATTGATGTATGAACATGTTGTGATAAAACCCATCAATTTGTGAAAATATGTACTAATATTTTAAATTTTATCTTTAAAATTAATTTTAACATGTTTTATACCACATAGAATTATGTCAATTTTCTGCCTTTCTTTCCTCATACTAGCCCCTTCAAGTACCTGCCTTCCAACCCCTCCCATGTATCCACCGTGTGTGTATGTGTGTGTGTGTGCGTGTGTGTGTGTGTGTGTGTGTGTGTGTGTGTGCACAAGTACATAAATATAACTTGATGAGTCTGTTTTTGTTGTTTGTGGTGTACATGGTTTCAGGACTGACCCCTCTTCATTAGACAACCAATAAGTGTGCTCATCCCTGAGAGGGACTAATTTTTCTTCTCACAGCAGTCATTAGTTACCTGTAACATTTTAAAGGCAGTTGGAGAGAGGTTCTGAGTGCATACAACTGTTCCAGAGGGAACCTAAGTTCAGATCCCAAAAATCCACATCAGATGATTCATAATTACCTGTAACTCCAACAAACACACGCACACACGATACATATTTAAAGTAATAAAAATTATTTTAAAAAAATAAAATGTTCCCAGAACCCGTGAAAATTCAGATGTGGTAGTGTGTATCTCTAGTCCCAGCACTCCTACAGCAAAGTGGGAAGTGGAGACAGGAGAATTGCCCAGAAGCTCTCAGACCAATTACTCTTTGTTTCTATATCAGTGATGAATAATGGAGCCAGTCTCAAACAAGATGGAAGGTTGACCTGTGACCTCTACATCTATACCATAGCATACATATATGCACACTCACACAGAGATACGAGAAAAATGGGCAATTGTCAAGAAGACAAGGAGAAAAGAATCTTTCCGTTTTGTACCTAGAACTCATGATCCATGGAAGTGGGGACTGGAAATAGTTCTGTAGAGCTTACTCTAAGATTGTGGGGAAAAGGAAAACCATGAAAGATGAGGCTGGAGAGCTAGGCAGGAGGCAGATCAACTGTCTGTGAAGGATTTGGATTTCATAACAAAAGTAGTGGTGAGTGACATCTCATTTCTCTTTCAGAAAAAAATAGTTTCTGTGGTATTAGGAAGGATGGATTAAAGAGCCTGGAAGCAGGAAAGCCAATAAATAGACTATGGTATCTCAGGTGGGAAAGAGGCCTAAACTAAAAACATAATACTGGAGAGTTCAAGATACTCAAGGACTAGGTAACAAAGAAACAAGACCCCCAAAGCAATATAATGTGAGAGTAAGAGCCAAATAGGAAATGTAGTTTGTTTTTCATCTAAAGCTTACTTGTCAACAGAGTTAAATACTTCAAAAGTAGAAAATTACTTTCTATGAACTTAGCTATAACCAATGTAATTTGAATACAGTCATTTAGTCCAAAATTTATCTACGTAATTAGAGGCTATTTACAATACCTAATGACTGAAGTCCCAACATGCTTAAGCCAAATGTGCAACATTTTTCCCCCCAGTTTGGTGGTAGACTGGGAAAACAGAACTAAAATAAAGGTTTAAGAGATTTTAATGTACCTAGTCTTTAACTCTGTCCAAAGCGAATGGAGCGAAATCCTTCTAATCCTTCAGAGCTTCATCTGGCATTGAACTCAGAAAAAAGAGCCTCTCTCCTACATCATCAGACTGACTTTCTCTACTTCCTTCTTGTTGTTCTGTGCAGTTCTTTGATCTGGGTATTTGCTTTAAAATAGAAAAACAAGAGGAAAAAAGCTAAAACGAATGGTTTGCAAATCTAAAAAAATAATAAATTAGAATTCATTTTAAATGCATTGCAGGGCTGGCCTTATGATCGAGCTCTTGGCTGCCATGCACACAGCCATAAGTTGGATTCTCAGCATGGGAAAAGTAGATCAATAAATGTATAAACAAAGAAATGTATTGCAAAAATCTATACCCATTACCCAAGCCTTTTAAAATTGGAATTTTGTTCTCTCACCATATAGGGTTCATTTCTGTTGGTTGTTGCTCCCTCTGTAGTTGTATCCATTTTACCTGATGGAAAACAGTTGGAAAATTAGGATTATTAACATTCATTGTGGCATTACTTAATTATAGGACTAATAATAGCATTGATATGAATTTTCAAGTTGTGTAGCATGAATAATAAAAACCCAGAGACAGATATTGGGGTTAAAGCTGAAGATCAGAGAAGGAGAGAGGCCAGCCACTAAGAGTTCTCACCTCTATCAATGCTCTATCAATCAGAAAGGTCGATCCTGTTCTCAGACTGCATCTCCAGACTGCATCTGTCTCTACCAAACTTCTGACTGCACTGAGCTCCTGTCTCCTCTCACCTTATATTCCTCTCTAGTACTGGGATTAAAGATCACCTTTGTGTGACCTCTGTTTCTCATTTAGGCTGGATCACTTTCCTGTAGCTCAGGGTGGCCTTGAAGTAACAGAGCTGTCTGCCTATGTCTCCTGAGTGCTGGGATTAGAGGTGTGTGCCACTACTGCCTGGTCACTATAGCTAGCATGTCGAGATTTGCGCTCCTATCTTCAGGCAAGCTTTGTTAGCTCATAAACAAAATATCATCACAAAGTTGTTGTTTTAGAAAATTATTTTAAAGTTGGGGTAGTAGGCCTTTTTTATATTGAAAGCTTATGTTCTACAGTAAGAAAACTCATTTGAAAATTACATGTAAATAAAAACTTTGAGAGTCTACAAAAATGAACCTCTAACGTTTAAAAGTAGGATGATAAACCAAGTCCACACACACACACATATATATATATATACTGTGATAACCCAGACATGTATCCCACAAGAATACTAATCTGGTAAAGTACGTGCAAAATATAAAGGAAGGGGTTTAGAAAGAGAAGGAGCAGAAGGAGTGATAGATGCAGGCTGAAATGGGAGGCAAGAAAGGGAGAAATGGAGGGTGCTTTGTAGTGAGCATGTCTAAAGAACCTTGCTAAATTTGAATTTCAGTATACATCAATAATTTTTACTACATATTCCATACAAAAGATGAGACATGGATAATAATTATTCATTGCTTAGCTGAAATTTAAATCTGTCTCTTAAAAAAATGAAAACATCCTGCTTCTCTCTTGAGCAATTGATGCAAACAGGTTGAGTCATTGTCACCCTGTTACCCATTAAAACTGTCTTAAGGATGGATTTTACTTTTTTTTTTTTTGAGACAGGGTTTCTCTGTGGCTTTGGAGGCTGTCCTGGAACTAGCTCTAGTAGACTAGGCTGGTCTCGAACTCACAGAGATCCACCTCTGCCTCCTGAGTGCTGGGATTAAAGGCGTGTGTCACCACAGCACTAAATCCATGTTTAAAAAAAACTGACTTTATTCTTCCTGTCTGGACTTCTGTAAAATTTTATGGTAAACAAGAGAAATTATAAATTAGTTTCATCACCTTTTAGTCACAACTTTAATTTTTAGTCACAACTTTAATGTTTAAAAGGTTCAGGTTGCCTCAAAGTTTATAGAATATTTAAGAGCAATACTTTTTGTGAAAAATCTAGATTTCAGCCAGTTGTGGTTTCTGCCTCTACCTCCTGAAATTTTAGCCATTGGAATGAGAAATTAATGAAGTGAAGTTAAGGTTAAAGGTTAGAGGAAGAACTTGCTTTCAGAACAGAGGGCTAGTGAGTAAATAAGTTCTGAGGCGTATTCATTTTCCACTTCACTGGGCTTCATGTCAATTTACACAATATCTACATCTAGTCTTCAGGTTCTTCTATTAAGGAGAACCTTCTATTTCTTCTCAGAAAGCTCAAAGAAATGCTGAGAGCCTAAGATGTGGGAGAAGAAAAGACTGTCAGAAACAAATAGCTTATCACAGTTACGTTATCACTGAAGACAAATCTTTAATTCTTTAAACACCAGTGGGTGTGATGGGAAATTCATCTGAATTTAGAGATTCCTTAGTGCCTGTGCTTTCTAAGGTGATCAGCAAAGGTCACAAGCTATAGTTTTTACATAGTACAAGTCAGGACGTGAGAGCTGACACAAACCCTGAGCCAAATTATAAGAAGCAAACTCCTTCACTTGTGACCTATCTCTGGGGCAGGGCTGGAAGATTTATCCCTTAGTGAAACAGTACACAATCATTTTCTTATAGAAGACAAGATAACATCCAGAGCTAAAACTCTAGTGTTGCTGAGTCCCAGACTTTAGGGAATTCCCCAAATAGGGATTGCTTGAATTGTAACAAAGTCTCTAGTATGTGCCAACAAATTAGAAGGCACCAATAACTCAGCCAGATTGCACACTGAACAGGAGAGGAGGGATTCTTGGCCAAGATCATTGGAGCAAAACTTCCTTCTACTTGGAAATATATGAAAAGGAAGGAACTGTATTTGCCTGATTAACCTAGGAGGTATGTCCAAAATGACATGCCACCCTTCCTCTACACAAGCTTAAGCAATTTAATTCTTTTGAAACTGGAAGAACCAGAACACCATCCAAGAGGGCTATTAAGTACTTAAGCTTCAAATAGTCCTTGTGTAATAGCCCAACCCATTTTTACTTCATTGCCCTAATTGCCTGATTTATTTGTGGCAGAGAGAAGTGTTAGACAAGAGTTATGGAGGAAGTAGGCAATTGCTTTTGTTTTTTGTTTCTTTTTTGAAATAGAGTGAACTATAGTTCAGGGAGGGACACAATAGTTAAGAGTTGTACAACAGAACACCGAGTTTAATGTTTAACCAAGGCTGCCAGTAATACATCTTGGTGCCACATAACATGACACAAAACATCAATAGGTTATTTTCTTCCTTTTTCATTTGGTATATAAATGTGGCACATTTTGTCCTAAAGGTAATAGAAAGCCAGTCCTCCTATAGCATTTCACATTTCCTGAATTACCATTTGTTTTGGACTTGGCTTAGATGTGGTTGGTGCCACCTACCGGACTAAATACATAATTACAGGCCTCCCAACCCATTTGTAAACACTCTAAAAACAACCCTAGGGAATATGATTCTTCATTGGGAGGATGATACTATAAATAACCAAGTTTGGATTGCCACCACAGTTTTTAGGACTGGAAGAGGAATAAGAAATCAGACTTTAACACTGTCATTGTATTACCTATGGACACAGAAGTCTGACTTTTCTGAGTTTGTGTCTTGTTTCATATTTCAGGTCTAACAGAGCCACACAAAAGTGAGTAGTTTTTAATGTGTCCTGTTACGTGTAATAGTTGTAAATATTAAATACAGAAAAAATTAAAATAAAACACTTGTCCATGTCACGAAGGGTTACAACACATACAGATATGACCCTAGAACCACGGCTTTTCCCATTAAATTAAAACTTCTCAAAGTGTGTTAGTGAAATAATTTTAGTTGACACCTGCAATAAATTTAAGAGGTGTTATAACATGGCTTTAAATCCTGTAACTCACAGTAGGGAAAAATTATTTTTGAAACAAACTCTACCCAGGGTTGTCCTTGTCCTCTTGAGCTTTATGACTCTGTGTCCTACATGCTGGGATTATAAACAGGTGCTTCTGTGTCCAGTTCATTTATTCCCTTTCCAGTGTACCATGGAGAAAGTTGAAAGTCGGTCCTGCTTTCTTTAAAATTATTTTACTTTCCAGTAATGATAAAGTAGACCCCAGGCTTGACCATCTTCCTAGAATTAAATTTTTTTGTTGTTTCATTATTATAAAATGTACTTGTGAAAATTCTGTTTTGTCATTAAGTAATATGAATGTTGTACCTGATCATGGAAGCTTATGCCTGTAATACTTGGTCTTAGGAGGCTGAGGTAGAAGGACCACTGTAAGTCTGAGGTCAGTATGGGCTACATAGTAAGTTCCAAGCCAGCTTCGGCTACAGAGTGAGATCCCATTTTATTTTGTTTTTGAACTTTTCTTTCAAGAAATGCATATATGAAAATGAAATCAACTTCAGTAGTAAAAATGAATAAATAATAAACAGCAGACTAAAGGAGTTGAGAAACAGTAATACGACCACACGACTTCCCCACTGTTGATAATAGTATGTTTATTTTAACAATTTTCCCATTTCAGTTTGTTTTTCTGTTGTTGTGAGAAAACATTCTAATCAAAAGCAACTTGGGGAAGGAAGGATTTGTTTGGCTTACAAGCCCCAACCACAGCCCATCATGAAGGGAAGTCAGGGCAAGAGTTCAGGGAAGGTACTTAACTGTTGCTTACTGGCTTGCTCAGTCCACTTTCTGATATAACCCAAGACTCTGCCCAGGGGGAGCACTACCCACAGGGGACTGGGTCTTCCCAGCTCAATTATTAATCAAGAAAATGCCCCCAAAGACTTGTCTACAGTCCAATATGAGACATTTTTCTCAGTTGAAGCTTCCTTCTCCCTGATGACTCTATCTTGTGTCAAGTTGACAAAAAACTAACCATCACATCCACCATAACAGCTAGCACTTCTGAGTTTTTTATAATAAAAAAAAATAGAGTCTATAAATAACTCAATATAACCAAAATCCATGACTGTTAGGTTTCAGATCCATTTTGGCTCATATAAACCAAAGAATTTTGAATATGTGTAGGCATATAGTATCTGCTCAGTGAATACATAGTAAAACATGGGACTGATGGATGGCTTGTGCCTGTGGCTATGGTAATATATAGTGACTGAGCACTATAGAACCCTATTAACTTCATTTTCTAGAAGTGAAAGAAAAGAGAAAGTATGGATCTGTGGACTTCCCCAGTTCAAAGTTATTGAGTATTCTGTTAGTGTGTATAGGGGAGTTTCCTCAGGCATTTGGGTTGAATGGAATCACTCATGGGGGACTGACTTAAATCTGGAATTTAAAGAACTGTTTCCTTACTCTGTGGATCCCTTAAGATGATCTTTGGCTAATCTTCAATGACATAAAAACACAGCTGTCTGTTTTCCTCATACTACTTCTTTGTCTTTAAATTTCTGTGTTAATGACTTACTGCCTCCAGGCTCTTTCATTCCAACTTCCTACTGTCCAGTTCTTCTCAAAATAGAAGTAGAAAGAAAAATATGTGGGGAATTCTGCCTGGGGACATGTAGTTCATCCAGTTTTCTAGATTTCCCAAATTTTACCTATTGAAGACAATAGAATGCTATGTGCCTGGACCAAATCATGCTAAGTTGCTGCATTCTATTAAAAAATTTCACAATAATGACTAGTTAACATTTAGGTTCTGGATTCATTTTGGAAATATTATGGAGGATATTGACTACTGACATTTCATAATAAAGTCCTGTCCCCTTTATGAAGGTCTGCGGAAGAATTCATTCTCAGGTCTCAGTAACATGAAAATCCATATTTGTCCTAATCAACTGGTTTGTTGTCACCTTATGAACATTGACAATCTGTGTTTGCTGGCAGACTCAGAACCAAATTTATAACCTACCTCTAAATAGCATATCTATCATACATTATCATGTTTTGACAGAACTTATCTTCCCTTTCATTTGACTTGCCCATCTACTTATTTAATCATATGTGTTGTGTGAGATTTTTATCAGACATTCAAGCCCTTTATGGACTAAGACTGAGAGCATATTCATATATATGTGCAGATGGATGGATGAATAAATGTAAAGCATTGCCACTCTTGAGGTAGGATTTCTCATGGCGTGTCTCTTCTTAAAAATAAGACCATATTAATAGATCCTTGAAATTTAAAAAAAAATTTCCCTACCAATCATAGCTATTATTTTACTTTTTATGAAATACTATTATTTCCTATGATGTCATAATGTCTTTAGGGGAAATCACTGACATTCCCAGAAAAACATCTGAATTAGCAAATTTGGAACCCTTGCCAACTATTTCCTACACCTTCAGCTTTGAAGTAACAGTATATCCAATATGATTTATGAGACCAGCTCTAGTTCTTAGGATAGGGGTAAAAAGAAACTAAATTATTTTGAATTTCAACTGTTATTGTCTACATATACTAAGGATATGGTATATTTATCTTAATAAAGGAAAACTTAATTTCTTCTACAGAGAATCCACACACACACACACACACACACACACACACACACACAAAGCTACTGAATCTACTATTAATGATGAGAGTGAAAAAATGTAGCTACACCACATTTAACTTACACTGTGTGCCAGGCACTGTGATGTGCATTGTTAATAATGAGACCTTAAGTGTAATAGACAAAACAGAACCTCCAACTATTTACCTCTGATATTCTGCCTACCTTGAGGCCTCAGAAGATTGAAAGCTCCTTGCTTTGGCTCAAAATTGTGCTGTAGGTACAGTGATAATTTTAAGTCATTGGCCTTCTGGTAGTTCCTCAAGGCCTCAATTCTCAGTTCAATTACTTTGCCATGAAAGCCATTCTGAAAGAGGACATTTTTCAAAATATTCACATCATATTTACTATTACCCCTCTCCCCCCCCCCCTCTCTCTCTCTTCTTTTCTTTTTTTACAATAGGGTTTCTCTGTCTAGCTTTGGGGTTCCAAAGTCCTAGAACTCACTCTGTAGTCCAGGCTGGCTTCAAACTCATAGAGATTCCCCCTGCCTCTGCCTCTTGAATGGTGGGATTAAAGGTGTGCACCACCACGGCCCAATTACTTGTGTTTCTTTATATAGGTGTTAAGGAATAAATCTCTCATGTTTTGTCTTTTAGAGTTAGGAAGATATTTGTTATCTTCCCCCAATTTTAAATAGTACAAAATTAAACACATGGGAAGAAGTATTCCAAATTATTCAAGGTAAATCCAGAGATAGGTGACTTCAGCTCTCTCCCAAAATCTAGTTCTTTTAACAGGCAATGGAGGATGTGAGAATTGGCTTTAGCAATTTTACATTGTACAAATAAATGTATACCATGTTCAGCCTTGGAAAAGCTTTGTACCTGAAGGATGTTGGGATGTTCCTCATATTTGACCCATTCTATTTTCCTCTGTTGCTTTTCCTGGTGGAAGAAAGACCTTCTGGGTGACAAAGTAAATTGAGATAAAAATCAGTTTTCTCAATATCCTGCAACAAACTTATAGCAAAATTATAGTATCAGAGATTCACTGTTAGGTTGGTTTTTATTTTACAGTTATTTTAAGTTGACCTCCCCATGTAATGCATTCTCTAAAAGCTAAGAGATGAATGAACAGTTCATTTTCTATGAATGATTTGTTTTGGGAAGATGAGATGCAAATGTAATATGTATAAATAAATTTCCACAATTAATTAACAAGTGCCCTGTGTGTATGGAATTGTCATTGTTGGTATGATTTTCTCATTTTAGGAAAACTAACATGATTTTGCAGAAACCTGTGGTACTAATATAAATACAGTATCCCAAAGATGCTACATTTCTTATAAAAGTTGGTTTAATGTAGGAGCACACCACACCTTAAGCAGAATATTGATTAATTTATCAGTTGCAAGAGCCACTCCTTCTCAGAGTGGTTGTGCTCCTAGCCTCCTTATGCCCTGCACTTTCTCTGCATGTGATGTCTCTGGACCACTCTTAGCCTTCCTAAAGAGGATTCCAGAGCCTGATAGGAAACACAAGAGCTAAAAGAGTAGAGCTAAAGGGATGTAGAACATCCCAGATGGGGAAATGCAGTGTCTTGGCAGACTAGAAATCAAATATACCCTAAAAGTACTGATCCCCAAATTAATCCTGTTTATTAAGGGGCAGTTTCCAACTGTATTGCATCAACTTTTGTGACATTCTAAGTCCACTCACCTTTCCATCTTTCAAGTCTGCCTTGGGCTTTGTGGGTAATGCTTTCTGTTGATCTTGGAGCTCTTGTGACTCAAATGTCTGTGGAGAGACATTTTGGCACAGCTTTATATTAGCGGTAACTATGAAGTCAAGGCTTTTGGTTCCTGCCAGACAGCAACTCTGTTTGAGCCAGGGCTCAAAATGGAAATTGTATACCTATCACAGGGATTCAAAATGGTTCCTTAATGTTCCTTTTAATAATAACAACTACTAAGTGAACCCATATAATAATATACCACTGACAGCTAAGCTTCTCACTTCATTACTTACTTTCACTACTACATTACAGTCCTTTAATCTTCACAACTCTGGGGACTATTTTTGTTTCCTTTTTATCACTGATGAAATTGAGATTTGAAGGGTTAAACCACTTGTTAATCGTCATATGTGGTGATATGTTGATATTGTTTAAGATTTACTAAAGCCACTGGAGATCAAAATAGCAAACCAGACATACTAGTTACTGTAGAAGCTGGGTGGTGGTGGCACACACCTTTAATCCCAGGACTCAGGATTAAGAGGTAGACAGATCTCTGTTAGCTCAAGTCTACCCTGGCTACACGGAATTGAACCAGTCCTAAAAGAAACAGCTCACACAAAGGTGATCTGAGCACCTGAGATCACACACTTTAATCCCTGTACTAGATAGATATAAAAGATAGGAACAGGGTCTTCAGTAGTCAGTCTCAGGATGCTCTCCAGTCACACTGAGGAGAGGCCCCAGTCTGAGGTTTGGTGAGAGCTTGTGGAGACAGGATTGCCATTTCAGTCTGAGGTAGAGGTAAGAGCTAGTAGCATGGCTGCTTTGCTTCTCTGATTTTCAGCTTGAAGCTTGAACCCTAATATTGGTCTCTGGGTCTTTATTTTTTTGTGCAACAGTCATATGACTAGGGAAGTACATGGACCTAGAGTTAAAACCAAATCATTTCTGACTCAGAAGCCTATGTTCTTAGCCATTGTGGACAATTTGAAATGTGAAAAAAAATTAATAAAAATGTATGTCACAAGTTAAGAAAGAAAGACTTTTAAGAGAGGAGGCTGAAAAGGTGAAGAGAGGAGGCTGAAAAGATGGATACAGACTATTGATCTTTAATAAGGATCAGGAGAAACAAATAGGCTGAATAGATGTTTATTCAGGGAGAAATAACTCACAACATAGACAGATGAACACCAGCAGGGTCCTGGTCCCAAGGATGCCTCCTGATGTGCTCCTGTCCCCGTGCTGCAAGCAAGAGAGCTCTCTGAGCCCCCTCCTCAGCCTTAGTTCCCCCAGGTCACATCCAGCCCTGCCTCCATCCCCCCAATGGGCGTGGTCTGTGCCATAGGTGTGGACAAGGTGAATATCTCACTACAATTCCCCTTTTAGTCTAAAGAAAAGATTTGGGCTAGATACAAAAACTATATACAAAACAGTGAATAACAAGTGTGCTCTAAGAAAAGAAAAATCGAGAACATACAAACTTAAGACCTAACTGTTTAGTCCTAGGGTGAAGTTGAAATGGGGTTTACAATAGAGTTGTCCTAAACTGGAAAGCTTAAGTCTAGTACCTAATATATCCAGCTAGGAAGAGAGAATAATAGTTGTGATAATTTAATATTCAACCTCATCAAAGACCTGAGAAGGAAAATAACACTAGGGTAGGCAGGAAGTGCGGATGAGCAACTTCCAAAAGGTGCAGCAAGGACAGAAACAGCAAGCTACCTGGACAGTCACCCAAGGTCTCACAGCAGCGTTGGTACAGCCAGTTTTGGCTAAGGCCTAGAGTACCTGACAGACCACAGCAAAAGCAGGGAGGTAAAGAGGCTGTCTTACCCTGACTTGGCAGGGTGCAACAGTCTTCTAGTAGTGAGATATTCACCTTGTCTGCACCTGTGGCATAGACAACACCCATTGGGGGTGGAGACAGGACAGGGCATGACCTGGGGGAACTAAGGCTGAGGAGGGGGCTCAGAGAGCTCTCTTGTTTGCAGCATGGGGACAGGAGCACATCAGGAGGCATCCTTGGGACCAGGACCCTGCTGATGTTCATCTGTCTATGTTGTGAGTTATTTCTCCTGAATAAACATCTATTCGGCCTATTTGTTTCTCCTGATCCTTATTAAACATCAATATCTGGTGTGAGAAGTGGGATACGAACCCATGCCTCCAAAGGAAATCACAGTAGGGTGACTGAAACACTTTAAATGTTTTTATAAGATCACTTTGTTGTGCAAATGGAGCATGGCTGGAAGCAGAGACATGAAAAACTGAGGATGAGGGGCTGGAGCAATGAGTTCTTTGCATTATCTGTAGGACAATAATTTTGAGAGATCCTTAGATGCACACCTTGTTCCATAGCATCTCCATTTCCTTCCGAAGCATCTTGTTTTTCTTTTCCTATTAGAAGAGGAAGAACCAAACAAACAGATGTGTTTGTCCAACTGTTAAAGTTAGAAAAAGCAGCTGTTTAATTAATGGTAGGAAAGGGATTTGTGGACACAGTAAACCACAGAGGAAGACAACAAATGGACCTAGCATTTCATACAGAAACATAAAAGATTATTTTGATGATGAGGATGATGATGATGGTGGTGGTGGTGGTTAAAAAGTTATTTCAAGCAATAACCTTTTATGGTCATGGTATGTGTCAGAAATAAATTCACAAGTCTTAAGATGCTCTCATGTGACAGTCACTTGAGGGCTTAGAGCATTAACTTCTAATTTTTAAAGATTTGTATTGACTTCAAAAAGATCCAAGACTATTTCAAAACAAACTTTTTTCTTTTAATTTGATAGATCTTCTAATCCTTTATAAATGATAAGAGTTAATATGCTTATATTCATTAACCACTGAATGAAACTTTTTTTAGGTCAAAAAAGTAGAATCTTGTTAGCTAACCCTTGCTCTTTCCAATATCCAGCCTGATTTCCTTAGCATCACCATGGATTTCCTAGATCAAAGAGATACACATGTTTGGAGCATCAGAGGCTAGAAATGAGCATTTGTTATTTCCATATGTGACAACGGTGATTCAAGAAACTATGTCCTTAGTATGTACTAACATCTCACCAGGTTCTGTTTCATCTCCTCTGCTTCCTTAATAAGCTCCATGACCGAAGATTCATCACATCCCCTCCCTGCCATGATCTGTCTCATGATCTGCAGACTAGGAGAAAAAAAAAAGAGAAATCATAAAGTATACATTCCCTTTAAAATAATAAAATTATTATCTGCAATAAACCAGGAAGTGTTCTTCCATGGAAGTTTCATAGGGGCTAAAATCCTATTAATCAGAGAGGTCCTTAATACTGAAAGTCTCTCTGTTTCTCGCATGATTCCATTTCTCATTGATATTAGGTCTAGGTATGTGATCAGTAGTGAATTTTGTGCTCTTTAATGTTCAAAACATAGATCTCCAACAACAAGTAAAAGTACTTTCCACCCTATAAAAAAGTATGTTTTACTGTATAACTTGAGGGAAAGAGTGCTTCTGCCTCTGTATAAAAGGAATTGAAAACCTTGGCATCTTTCAAATTAATTCCAGAATTATTCCCCTTCTCACAAATAGGATAAATCCACTTCCTTCTACCCCTGTAAGCTCTGATTAAGTATCAAGTCTGTCTATGAGAAGGATACTGTTTAAAAGCAATCATTAACTTAAGTTAGTGTTATTGTCCTTTTTTCTCTCTGGATCTGAGTAGAATTGCTTGTGCAGCATGCTCATTTGCCCCAAGAGAGGTCTATATTGCTGATTTGCTGACAATTGGTGTTTGGCCACTCCTTGTTGGTTTTTGTTCTCCTGAAGTCTGAGTTCCTTAAGGGCTTGTGATAAGGGTAGAAAGAAGACAGATCAACTGAAATGGTATTTTCTATGATTAGAAAGGAAACAGAGACTTAATAGTCCTCAAGAACAATGGCTATCCTAACAGATTTAAAGTCTCAGATGACTAGGAATGTCTCCCTAACACAAAAAGTACCCAGTCTCAGAAAAAGCCATCACTCTTCTGCTTGGTATAGAAGGAGCAAGTGTTTATCGTAAAATAATTCTACCAGTATAAATAATCATTTACCTGTTTCTTCAGTGGGCATTGGAAGAGTAACTAGCTTCATGAAATGAGGACCAAATCATATTTTAAAAACTGAAGGATTCCTATGTGCCGATTTTGTTGTGATAAATTCTTTTATATTCTACTGGAACTGAATGTCCAAATTAAAAACGAAGAACAAATCAATGGTTTGTTTATTTTTAACTATTTTATTACTAATTTATGGTGGTTGCATTTTCCAGCCTTTCTGTCTTCAGGATACTGAGTAGGGACCCATACCTTCTTTGTTTTTCCTCCAAGTTACCCATTAGCTTCTGGAATAAGATATTGTTCTTATTTTGTAGAGGTTTTAGCATCTCTAGAAGTTCCTGCTTTCTTAACTTTAAGTCTTCATTCAGTTCCTTCAAGTAGTTGTCATCTATTTTAGGGTTTCTTTGGGAAAAGATAAAATAATCTGTCTTTAGCTTGGGTAAATAAAGACCCTTTTCCCCTCCTAGGTAGCTGTTATTTGGCTTTCCCCATCAAAGACTCACCTTTTTGAAGAAAAGCAAGATCCTGAAGAGTTTGTACCACTTGTCATCTTGAAGGGAAATTCCTAATGATGAAGAGGCCTTTTTGAAAATCTGTGCCTTCTTTTTTCCATCCAGTTAAGACATCATTTTGTGCTGCTGTTCTTGAAGCTCCTGTTGCATTGGACTGATTTTAGCTACAGCTTGAGGTCACAATAGCACCAAGACCACAAAGTCAGCAGATATTTTAAGTAGCATCAGTAGCTGCTGGATGACTGAAAATACTCAACTACAAGATTAATTCTTGTTTTAGGTCTAGCCAAATCCAAATACCCAAATTTTATTCAGAAATCTTTGAATGAATAGGATATAATCACAGCCAGTGTACCTGCATTATAAAATTACTGTTGGATTTATCAAAAAGAACCTAACACCATGGTAACGAACATCTGTGGAAAGCCTGTCTGCACTAAATGCTGGATTCTGTGAGTGAGGAAAAGATAGAAAGATAACAGCACCTATTTCTGGGAGTTTGGTAAAGGAAAAGATACTTCTAACCAACATTTAAAAATGGACAGAGGTTAAACAGGCAAAAACTATGAATGTAATGGAGTAATAGATGAACCACTGTCATTTTTCCCAATCTTTAAAACTCCATTATGTCAACTGGGTGTGATGAGTCACACCTATAATCCCAGCACTAGGGAGGCAGAGGAAAAAGGGATTGGAAATCCAAGGCAGCCTTAGGCTATGTAGCAAGACTGTCCTTCAAAACAAACCCAAGTCAAAGCAAAACAAAACTTTGATCTAATGTCAAGGGAGAAAAATATTGGGCACATAGGGAGAAAATAGAGTTTGGAAAGATCCACACTGTCAGAAGTCTTCCCCGGCCAGATTCTTTTCTGGAAGGCTTTACTTCCTAGGCTCGTATAAACAGACTGATTCTGACTGTGTTATTCTACCTGAATTAGAGCCACATTACATTTTGGACTCTTAAGATCGCCTTTCTTATCTATGTCATTTAAGAAGTAGAAGGTACTCCAAAAGATTATACATTTGTAAATGTGTCCTTCGGAAAAAGTTCTATGGATTCATTTTTTGGCTGTGTCACGTGATTTAACACATGCTGTTTCAAATACTGACTGACCATTTCTAGCCTTTTTCTAGGAGTTTTCTCCAAAGTAATTTCAGTTCTTTATCACTGGGGAAATTTGAAAGGTAAACTATTGCATAAAAATAAAAATTCAAGAACTTGATTTGGGTCTCAGTTTCACTGTGAGCAGTGGTCCACCTGTGAACAAGTTTCCAAATTCTCTGAGACTGATGAGGTTTCCACTTTTATGAAATATTGACCTGATAAATTTGTGAAAATGAAATATATAAAGTGCCTGGCTCGTGGCAGGTGATTGTTCACGTTTAGTGAGATTTTGTTAGGTCTGGGTTTGCTTAATGCCCCAATTAAGTGGCCAGATTTTTTTTCAGGCTTATATGTGTGAAACTAATCACAACAGCCTTTCATTTTCAAGAAGTCAAAAGACTTCTCCCAATGATCAGAGTGCCACAAAGTATGGATCTGCCCTGGGTTACATAGGATACTAGCCTCCTTAAGTATCCTTTACATCAAAGTTTTTCTTAAGACAATCTTTACAGATACTTTTCCTAAAGTTTTCATGTGTCACTGCAAGGTTGTATGTGACAAAAATGTGATATTAAATTAGAAAAACCACAGCATGTTAATTCATGCTGGTTGCCCTAAGACTATCCACAAAAATATTTAATTGAAGGTGAGTAAAAATGCTCACTGTTAAAAGGAGGTGGTGGGCAGACTAGTTATTATTAATTGCATCTTAGACTACATATGTGGCAGGTAGTAGCAAATAGTAAAGGACAAAAATGACATTGCTCACTGAAGCATAGCCTCTTTAAATTTCATGTTGTGACATTTGGCAGGCAGAACTGTGATAGAATATTAAAACATTTAATGGGCAGGCAGCATCCCAACTCACCTTCCTCTCTGCCCTTGCTTGTGAATGTTTCCAAGATGAAGAACACTTGCTATTCTGATGTAGTCTTTTCTACAGCCAATCAGCAATGTTTATTTCCTAACATTCTGATATTCATGTCTTCAACCTGGAGTAGGAATTCTAAGGAGTATCTTTGCCTTTTAATGATGTGTGTGGATATTATAGTGAAAAGCTTTTAACAAAATAATCCTCCAAACCAAAAGTCAATTAGTGTTGAGGGGGGTTAGTTGATGTTCTGTATCAGAATCTAATAGAGGAAGAAGGGAGGGTGATGTGTTAGATGATTATTAAAGGCAGAGGAGCTTGAATTTTTCATGAAGTAAAAAGTGAGGTCATCTGCTGATTGGAAATGTCTGGTGGGAATACCATGGGAGAGGGGAGAGTGATGGCATGAGATTTGGGATTGCACCTAAGCAGTGGGAAAAGAAAGCCAACCGGGCAAAAGTACAAAATATTGCTTTGTAGTGCTAAAGGTCAAGGTGCATTTGGAAGCTGTTACAAGTTTTATCTCCATAAGTACTGGCAAACTGGAAGCTACAGTTGAGAAAAATGTGGTGTATTCTGGACTGGACCTGGCAGAAACAATAAGCAGAAATTCAAGGAAGAAGTGTTTGAGAATGCTGATGAGAGTGTCCATTAAAAGATTCACCTAAGTCTTTGGGTATTCAGGATACTAAATACATAAATAACATTGGCTGAAAGAAAACAAGAAAGGAGTTGAGATTGAAGAGTGTGAGGTAAAAGAATAGATGTCAAAGGATGTACATCTTATGAAATAACTTGTGGAACTTTATCCCCAGTCATATAATCATAGTAGCAATCATATTGTCCTCAGCAGTAATTTTGTACCTCTTGCTTCCTTTCACTGCATAATCACCGAAATTCATGTGGATCTCAAAATAGGCCTTACAACAAGTTATTCACAATGACCTCATCCAATGTTATAGCATTTGGTTTTAGTATCTGTTAAGAAAAAGCGTGATTGCTCTATAATTAGAGAACTCCAAAGCATTTTAGTGTTAGTTTTGCCAGCGGAAAGTCAAATTAGTCTAATTAAGTCAGGTCTCCAAAAGTAGAGGCAATTATTTTCATATTAATGCCAGAGATTAGGGGGAAAGAGGAGGGAGAGAGGAAGAGTGGAAGGGAATTACTTTCTCTGTTGTTTGTTATAATCATTTTGTTGGCTCCTTCCCCTTAACTCTTAAAAAAAAAAAATTATTGGGGCTTTTGTTTGTTTTTGTCTTGTTTTTGTTTGTGTAGCTTGGCTGGCCTAGAACTCAATAAGTTGACTTTCATTGACCTTGAACTCACAGCGATCCACCTATCTCTACCTCTCAGCCACTGGAATTAAATGTACCACCACACTTTCAGTTTTTTTCTAACTGTAAGTGTATGTGTGGGTATGTGCACATGATATGATACCTCACGGTGCCAGAAGAGGGCGTTGGATCCCTTGGAGCTAGAGTTCTAGGTGGTGTTGAGCTGACTGACCTGGATGTTAGGAACTAACTTGGGTTCTTTGAAACAGTAGTTTTCATTTTTAACCACTAAGCTAGCTCTTCAGTGCCCTCAGCCCCTTAGCATTTGTTTTTATAGTGGTCCCAACCTAGTCTGTACCTACATTTAGAATATATCCAAGCACTTGAGACAGCTGAGATAAATTTCTGTTACTCTTGAGAGTTTTTTTTTTTTTTTTTTTAAGTAATGCTTTGTTTTAATGTTTCCAGATTCTTGGTGTAATCATCTTCAAACAAGTGAATGAATTTTTACAGACTTTTCAAGAAAAGTATAATCAAGGGCTGGGAAATGACTCAGCATGAAGACCTGAGTTCAAATCTCAGAACCCATGTGAACACAGCCATGTATGTACCTGTAACCCCAACAACTATAAGATGTGGAGACAAGAGGACTGATGATGCTTATTGATTTCCAGACAATTCTAGGTTCATTGAGAGATCCTGTCTCAAGGGAATAAGGCAAAGAGTAATAGGGCAAGACATCATACATCCTCCCCTAACCTCCAGTGCACAAATGCACACCCACAACCCCCTTCCCAATGCACACAAAGGAATAAACAACAGGAGAAAAGGATATTTTTCAGAGAATCATTTCTGGATCCTCATTTTCCACAAGAACTTCCCACTAATACGGATGTGCTTGAGAATGCTTCTTAGTCTCATGCCACCTCCCTTTCCAAATGCGTATTGCTCAAAGAATGGAATGCATTGTAACAATCTTGAATCTTATTTCAGTGGCTTGCTTTGAGGGAGTAAAATTGTAACTTAAAATTCAAAATCTTGGTGTTGAGGCTAATAAAAGGAAAGGACCATTAATGGCCTGGAAGTCTGGTGCCAGTTCTTTGCTTTCAGCAAAATCAAGGGATATCTAATTGAATTACCAGCTTAGGCAGCTTAGGTTTATTGGAATTAAATTTTGATAATGAATTACTATTTGAATTTTGGCTGGTAATTCAGAAGGAGTTTCAAACATTTAAAAGACTGCTATAGTAAATGCCTTCCATCTCCATCTATTTATTTATATGAACAAGATTTTTTTTTCCCCAGTGAGCATTACATGTAATACAAACAATATAAATGGAAGTGATTGTGAAAGGCTATCTTATTCAAGGAGTAAGTATAAATACACAGATTGACTAGAGGGGAAAATGCTATCATATTAATAGAATTGTTTTGCTTAAAAACTGTTTTTGAAATAGACAAAACTTTTGTCACAAACATGTTATGTCAGAAGCAGACAAATAGATTTATATCTTTCTACAATGTCAGAATTTATTGAATAATAATAACTTCACAAGTTATTTCAGTTTCCTTGGCTGAAGTTTTCCAAGTAGTCTCAATTTCACTCGGTAGTTAGTCAAGGACTACAGAATTCTTTGATTCCAATCTTAACAGTGTCAACTCTCAGGTCATACATTATGTGTTACCCAGAAAATGTAATTCTCTCTATGTGGATGGCTACAAAGCAGCTA